TGTCAACAAATTGTAAGTTTCAGTGGCAGATTTTCCAAGTTTTGTGAGGAATTTGATGTTAGCACGTTGTTCTGCATTAGCACTCAGCATTATTCCGACGGAGCTCAGAAACACGATCCGCTTCTAACAATGGTCGCGGCCAGACTAACCGATGCACGTGAATGAAACTTTGTGTGACGGTAGAGGGAAGTCCAAGGGTCAATGCCCTACCCTCCTCTTCGTCAATGACGTGGCCGGAAATGAGTCATAAAAGTAATCCGGGTTCTTTATTGCCACACCTTGTAGAGGTCATCTCTGTTGATCAGTCTGTTTGTGACCTAGTATCAGGGCTTCAACCAGTGTACAGACTTTTTTGAAATCATGTATGGGAGAATTTCAATAAGTGTTTTTGAGAAATTTATATTTTTAGCAATATTTTTGAAGCATAGTTTGCTTCAGACCACAAATGGATGTTTCCATAAACTGTTTTCACATATTTTATTAAAATTCAATGCAGGAGACATGCACCAAAAGTTGTCACATAATGCTGATTTTCAGACACAGTGAAGCCTAATTTACACATGATCATAGATGGACTGTTACACCAAAATTAAGTGGTATAGGTGCCAGGTCATGAGCATATTGGCAAGAATGGGTTCTGAACATTCATGTTTATGACCTAAACCAGCTTGCAGGATCTCAGTTGGAGTTGCCAAGAGAGTGGTCAGAGACTGGACAAACTTAAATCACAAAAAGCATTAGGAATCCATAACTGGACTCAGACAGTCAAAGGGACTTATACTAGGGCCCTCTGCCACAAGAACGAAGTATCTGTTGAAATTAAACAGAGATGAATTAAGATGGGTAAAAGTGAAGTAAAAGTATCCCTGTAACAGGCCTTGGAGGCCCATAGGCTTGTGAGATGTTGAGGTTCCCACATTTTCTAGACAATCGGGTCCTAGATGGCGGTAAGGTTATCAGCCTTATGCTCCGGCCGTCCTTTACCCCCAAGAATATTCCAAGAATATTCCTGGTACTCATTTCTTATAGAAGCTGAGTCGACCCCAAGGCCATAGTGCGGCTGGATGAATTAGGTAAATTGAAAAAATCCACCTCGTCCGGGTTCGATCCCATGACCTTCTGGCTTGTAGCATAGTGCCTCAACCAACTACACTCCTGCATGCCCCGTTAAGATGGGTAGTAGGATGATTTACAGGAAACTGTCACCTTTTCAAATTGGGATTGACTGACCCCACCTGCAAAAGGTGCTTAGAAGAAGATGAATCAGCCACACATATCCTTTTTGATTGTGGGGCCATAGCTTATTAAGATTTCATCACATGGGCTAGTTCTTTTTGGAACGAAGCGACTACTACAACACTCCCAAAAGCAAAGTTCTACATTTCATTCAAAGTGTAGGATTAATTAAGGGTTAATCACAATAGATCATTGAAAGTTGTAGTGCAAGGGCAGTAGTAATATGGTCCGCCCCACGTTAATTCATCATTCATTCATACACCAAAATCTGTCTAGCAGTTCCAGTCTTTAACCATATTAGTTCGTAACACATCATATTATGTATAAGTTTATGAATGGACTTTTAGACAGATTTTATTAAAATTCAATATGGGGGGACTTTCACTAATTTGCATGTCATTTATCATTTTTATGTAAGCTAGATGAAATTCAAAGGATGTTGCTGGTAATTATGTGTGTTATATGAGCTGCAATAGTTCAGTTGGTTATAGCAGTAGGCTATGGCTGAACAGTTGGGGTTCGATTCCTGGCAGAGGCAACATATTTTCCTCCTCTCTGTGTCATCCAAACTGGCTCTGAGGTCCACCCAGCCTCTTATCCAGTGGATACTGGGGGTAAAGTGCTGATGTCAAGACTGGTGGAGCTATATCTTCACTTTCCCATGCGCTCTCATGGCATAGTGCATAATTAATTAAGCACATGAACGTCTTTATCTTTTGGAGGGAGGCTGCTTTACATTGTAGATATACCTTTTCAAGAACAATGATACAGTAAATTAAGGTCAGGCCATCATATTCTTTCTTCTTCAGCTTTACAGATGAGGCCCTCTGGCCTCTTCCAATGCAGAATTAATTGTATGAATCTTGTAGACACTTGATAGAGCAGTACACACACACACACACAAAATGTGGACATACATCCATGCCTCAAGTGGGATTTAAAAACCCATGTTGCCAGTGTCTGAGTGGTCAAAGACTGTACGAACCATAGACTGCATGGTACAAACATGGCTGTTAATACAACAACAGTCCATTTGTTCTGTTTATGGCCACTTTAGTAACCTAGATGATACACAACAGGATGCAAACAATAAAGACCATCTCCCTTAGCAGAATAATGACTGGTCATTGTTTTGCTTGATCACACATAACTCAAAGTCATCAAGCTTGATTCCTTTCAAACTGTGCTGCAGTTTTTAACAGGCGACATTAGTTTCTCCCCACTTATGCTTGCCTTGTTAGTTTTGTTTCTTATTTTTCATGTATTATTGCTGATATTCCAGTAGCCATAGTGGCATGTTTTTTTTTGTGTTTTTGGTAAGATATTCCTAACTTCCACATGAAATTTCTTTCTGACAAAATACCTCGGTCTTCACTGTGGGTAGTAGGCCTTATTTAATTTTCTTATTTTGGAAGACATCATTTTGAATATTATACAGTGATAATGATTGTAATGTGATACAAAAATATTATTACACACACTGTAAAAGTGGACACAGCGTGAAAAGAAAGCACTGGTCTTACAGTCGCCATGGGTACCTCATCCTTTCCCCACCAAGAGAACTTAGTTTTCATTTTTGCACAGTTGAAGTTAATGTAGCCATGTATGTGTGGCATTCATGTGAAGATCATATTGCCACATGTATGAGTGACTATAGATGGGTTTTGGATTGGTAACTGGATTTAGTGAACATGTAACTACATGTAACTGTAGTTCTGTCGCTAATTCACACACACTAGTTCACTGCAGTTCATATCTGTTGGGATGCCCACTTGATCACTACCCAGCCATTGCCTAGCAGCTGCCATTGTTTACAGAGCGATTACTAGGCAGTGACTGTTGTTTAACTGCTTATCTCATGGTCATTGCATTGTAATAGGTCTACATGCCACAATATTGTGGCGCGTAGACCTGTTGCTAGACAATGTCAGCAACACACTCATGCCTACAGTATAGGAATAGTGTTTCTTTTGTCCATGGATGGGCTGTCACTATGCAGTGCGCTAGCTGTGACATCACACAACAGTATGTGGCCGTCACGTGACATGTTTCCTGTAAGTGCAGCCATTATGCCACAGAAAGCAAGCTGCATTTTCCACTTGTCCGAGTGAGGGTATATAGGAGAAACTGGAATTCCTAAGAAGTCAGTTTGAGTCAGTCATGCCGAGTTAGTTACATGTTATCAGAGAAGCACGTAAATGGAGTACAGAAGAATACAGGAGTCGGCCTGTGAAGGTGTAAAGTGTGTGCTGTGGTGCAGAGATATCTGGAGTGCTCTGAATTGCTACATAGTTCCTCTGTTTTAATTGCATTACCAGGAGAGGACTTGGGGGTGTGTGTGTGCATGCATGCGTGTGGGGGGGGGGGCAAGTGCACATGCAGCAGTGAATTATGAAGTGTGTGTAAATGAGTGATAGCGCTGTATTGCATGTTTTTAAGTTTGATTAAGAGAGCATGTGTAACCAAGTGTTAATAAATCCAATCATCTGAACTGGAACCCGTCATTTTGTCACGCTTACCATCCTACACTTGACAATATTAATAAATACCAGATTACCAAACCCACTGGCATTAAAGGGTTTCCAGTTGATTTTTGTATATTTTTTAGATTCTTTTGACAGGAGATATTGGGTATGAGAAATGCATTTATTTTTCAGATGATTTATGGCTGTGCAGTGTAACATGGATATAACAAGAACTGTACAAAATGTTTTAAAAATGCTCGTTGCTGCGAGCGCTCCTGTTATTACTGTTGCACTGATAGTTAAAAGAAATAATGCAAGGACTACAGTGTGAATCCTTTTTGGCATGTTTGCAACAAAAACTTATGAAAATGCCCATATTACTTTCACCATGTTTGTCTGTCCACCCAACTCAGCATGTTACAAATTGAGAACTTTGAAGTGAATTTTCACAAAGGTTGCTGTTAAATAGTTGTACGAAAATATGTCAACATTTCAGTTTTTGATAAATTCAGATAATTATAAAGGACAGGCCAAAAATGTATTTCTTCATGCCTCTCATTTACAAATCATGTGAAGTTGCTAAATATTTGTCAGAAGGATTCTTTTTACCCTTTTCTCATAAGTTGTTCGGTTTTCAAGGTAATGAAACAAATTGGATTTTATGCTATCTACGGGTAACAATAAAGCAAATGTACCAGAATTGTTGTTATACAAACATTTCTCAAGTTGCTTTGAGTGGATGTATATATAGTAGTGCAGAATAATTCAGCATTCATGGTATATTCAGGATTATTTTAACTGAGATGTTGAAGATTTTCTCAATTAGAATGGCTCTGCATGCTGAGCACTTCTGCCTCATGGTGGCAAAGAAACTGTTCAGACATATAGTTCACAGACTATGGAATGAGGTTTTTCTGTTCCAAGCAGTGGAGGAGCTCTGGGAAGTAAACTTGCAGTTACAGTTCATTCAGAAATTTGCAGACCGGGTAGCAATTGTCCAGTGCAATGAAAGGGCCAGAAAGGTTGCCCTTGTTTTAATGAAATTTTTTCATATATGTAAGATTAACATATTGACAGTGCTGATGATTTTTCTCATTATAAGCTATACTCATTATATTGTAATTCCACTGTATTTGGAGTATATAATGCTGACAAGATGGTTTATGACAATACATTTAGTACTGGAAAGCTGATATGAATATAACGTAATTTTGCATCTGACATTAATGCAGGTCATCTTTATATTTGTACTCAGCAGGAACTTTTATAGATAGAGTTTCCCTGATTTTGTTGCAACAGGTCCCACGTGACCATGAAGCCATGACTAAATGGCTGTATGATCGCTTTGTGGAGAAAGAGGAGCTACTTGATGCCTACTACAAGACTGGCAAGTTCCCCACTGAGGGTTTCTGTGCCTCTCCCATCCCTCCTCAAGAAGTGTCTCAGGATTGCCTTCGGTTTGCCATTCTCCATCTTTTCTTCATAACATCAAGTTACATCCATTTTCAGCTTCTCTCTTATGTTGTCTCATACTTCTGGTACTGAAGCTGACTGCCTGTGAGGTAATGTTTAGCAGGAGTATTTCAAAGTCTTTTGCATTATTTAAATACTGACATAAATCACAGATATGGCATTAATTATTAGTTTAAATTAGAACAAGTTATAATTATAAGACAATCAGATGCTTCTGTTCTAAGCGTTACTGGAGTAATATTGTTTCTGATACAGTTCCAATAAAGAATTTGACCTTTATTTCAGAAAAATGTCTTTATTATTTCTGAACTTAATATATGATTGATAGTGTATCTTGGTCTCATGTTGAATCTGAAAACTACAATTAGAACAGTTCATCTGCATTGTAGCTGCTTTGAACACATGAGAACTTTGTGCAAATGACTGTGAGATACAAATGTGGCTGCTGTTATAGCACAGTACAGTGTACTGTGGTGATGAAGTACTGTGCTTCAGTTACACATGCTGTTGCAGAAATCTTAGCCAGTATTGTAGAGGGGATAGTCAGTAAGAGAAATGGCACACATTGGTGTAGCCAGATATGAGGAAGTGACAGACATCTTGGAGAATGTTTCTGAATACTTCATTGTATGATATAAAATACTGCCAAATTAAACATTAATGGTCTCCACTGTGAGTATAAGTATATTATTTTTCCTTAATATATAGGCCATTCAGAATCCTCACCTTAAAATCCTGGTTATGCCACTGACTGGTATCCCATTTAAACAATCATGGGTTGTAAACACTCATATGCAAACATGCACACTAGCATAATTGGATGAGAGGTGTTAACATGTTTGTTAATATACTGTATATGAGTTTGAGTTTTTAATTAAATCTTAACAGTATGTTGAATTCTAACTTACATCTTGTTGAACTGTGACATTGTGATGGAAGTGATAATTCATTCTGTTATGTTACCATTAGAGCTGTTAGATGATACTAATTTATATGTATGAAACAATGGATTTCCATTGACTGTTGATTGATTAATCAATCAATCTTAAATAAGCTTGGTGTAGAAATTTAATTCTGCATTATTTATTTCTACAGGCTGTAATCACAATAATATTTATCTACATAAATCAAGTGCTGAATTTATCAGTGATTATTGTATTTTTAAGGAAAGTATTCACATGGAAGCTCTATTGTAATGAAGCTGTGCAATATTTAACCAAATTTATTGGAACAGTTTAATAGTAAAAAATTTATTGGTTAATCATTTAGGCTAGTCACAACAGCTCTCATTTCCACCAGACCCAGCTGTAGTAGCCTTTAATGTCCAAGTATCGTAACTGGGCCAGATATGGAATGTGATGAGAAGAAACTGTGTAATAAATTTTCATTGTTATATAAATAAATGAGCAAGAAGATATCATAAGAAAGTGGTTTAAAAGTATGTGGATTGTGGCAACATCCATTGCCAGCTTTGTTGTCCATCTCTCAAGTGGTTTTTGCTCTTGATTTTCAGAGTTCACACTCTATTGTGTGAGTTTTGCTTTGAAGACACACAAGTTGGCAGCTCTATGTAATGTAAACAGTACTGTGCAGTCCTGTGACTAATTTAATTATAGTAACAAGATTTCTTTGACATATTTCCATTTTAGAAATAACTGAGTTGTGTACTAATGCATTTTCCATTAAATCAGTATGTCCCCATTTTAAAATATAGTTCTTTTATTTAATTTATATCATATTTCAGACTTCTTTTTAAGAAATGTATTTGGAAAGCTGATTAAAGTTAGTGATCTTTTGTAGCTATGTTTCATAACAGCTGCATTTACTGGTAATTTGTTTTGTGAAAGTAATTCATATGGAATATCTTTTGTTTGTGGAGATATAATAAGGATATTATTCCAACTTTTGTTACTTAATCTTTTCATAATACTCTTGCAGTTAATTGCTCTAACATACTGGAAATCAGGAGCAGTATCTAAATTAAGATGTTGCATTGTAGTGAATCCATCTGGTTGTGCTTCTTGAAAATGGTCATGAAATCTCGAGTATTTGAAATAGGAAACTAATTTCTTTGTCTGTAGTTTATTAGTGCTTTCTTTTTTAACTTTTGATTATATTCTGTATACAAACAAATGTACATTCCATTTTAAGTGAAATGTGTTTCATACCAAATTAATTTTATTATTACCATGGAGAATTGTGTTTCTCAAACAAAGAGGCACTAAGAATTTCCTATTGACATCTAGATTTTAGCAAACCAACCACAATGTTTTGAAGTGTATTCGATGTGTGTGAATGAATAAGCACATAATGGATCAGTTTTGTTAAATCTTATTCCCACATTTCATAGATACATGCAGCTAACAACCCACCTCCATATAGTGCCAAGCAGTAAGAATACCACATCTGTTTCTCCACTCCCTTAATATCATTCCTGACATGGCACTTCTTTTATACAGTACTACAATACATCCTTCTATCTGAATATCATAGGTCTGATAATACAGGGTTGCACAGATGTTGATGTAATTTACTTGTAAAACATAAAGTGTCACTTCTCAGAAATGTATGAAACTGATGTTATATTGCTGGTGTCAGCTATATCATTCATTTTTGAGGTATGGAGATGTGTTTTTTAATCGTCCTGTGGCAGATCTTTGATTTGGGGAGTTTTGGGTGCTTTGTTTTAGGGTCTTAAAAATGGGACCAAATATTAATGTAATTTTCATCCACATACACAGCATTTTTCAGTGTACACAAGAATATAATGATTGTAGCTATAAGATCAGCTATATTGAATTTTCAAGATGTTCTGCTGTTTATATTTAAAGAAATGAGAATGAGTAATTGAAAATGCCATAAATGTAGTTTACCCATCATGCAGTTTGGTACTGGTAATCGTGTCTTAGGTACGCACAATGTTTCAGTATATGACTCCAGCAAGTTTTCTCCTCTCCTGCTCTAAATGTGATGGAACCAATTCTAGACTAAATTTTATATGGTTTTATCTTTATCAGATCATAACTCTTTCTTAATCTTGAGATGATCTAAGGCTGGAAATGAAGGATAAACAAATGGTAATATATAAATAGTAGGCACCAAAGTTCCACTCTAATAAAGGTGTGCCACTTTTGTGTAGGACACTGGTGTGCTTTACATCTGTACTTTGGCTTTAGAGGGCAAAAGAGAGGCAAGGTACATGTTGCACATACAATCTAACACAGAAAACATTAATAGTGCTAAGTGGTACCCTACAAAGAAACCCTGCATAGGTGATATTATGCTTCAAACTATCAAACAACTTATCAGTATGTAAAATAAACCATGTGAATTGTGGTGTGGACTTACTGTAATCCTTATGATCATGACCTCTGGAGATGGAATTTAATAGTCATATCTTCATCTATCTTCATCCAATATTGTTCCATTATTTCAAGCTAGATCTTCTGATCTTTGCTTTGACAACAGAGAGGAACAAAATGCTGGTATATTTATCAGCCATTTTCTGTTTTACTCAGTTCTACGAATATGTAACACTCTATACGCTCACTTTCATCTTTTATGCAATTTTGTTTACAGTTTTTGTTTAATTTAAAGTAACATTAAAATTAACCGCTGCACATTTCGCCCATATTTGGCCATCCTCAGGTAATTGTTCACTTGTTGAATTTGCTACACTGTTCTTAAGTTAAAATATTCCAGTGTTATTCCATTTTCATTGTTCACTCATTAAAATACATACATTATCTTGAGAACATCATGCTTTATCTTTTCTTGTGCTGCCTTCTTTTTGTGATCACGTTTTTTGTGTTATTTTGTTTAGCCTTATGAATATCAGTGTGGTGTTGTCATTATTTTATGTGTCCCATTAGTATGTATGTTACCATATGTCTGCGCCATAGCTGAAGCGGTTAGTCGCTGGCTTCCCACCGTGGCAGCCCGGGTTTGATCCCAGTTCTGATCAAGTGGGATTTGTGGTGGACAAAGTAGCGCTGGGGCGGGTTTTCTCTGAGTACTTTGGTTTCCCCTGCCAGTCTTCATTCCACCAAATTCTCCATCATCATAATCACCCTGGGAGGCTACAATAGGCCAATCAGTGGCCACCGTGCCGAGTGGACCCAGTGGACTCCACCCCCCACTAAGCGAATTAAAAAAATTCAGTTGCTCTAGTCGAGTGTATGTCACTTTGTTATTATCTATGTAAGTTTGATTGAATTAAGGTCACAGTGATATGGTTACAGCTGCAGCACAGTATTTTTTCTTGTTCAAGATTCTGTCAGCTGTGTACACAGGCTGTAGTCTACTCTGTTTGATTGAATTAAGGTCACAGTGATATGGTTACAGCTGCAGCACAATATTTTTTCTTGTTCAAGATTCTGGTTCAGCTGTGTACACAGGCTGTAGTCTACTCTGTTTCACGGGTTCTGACAGTTCCCATTTTATCCTGTACAAATTTGCATTGATATTACTTTGGAGCCACAGTAGAGTATCTTCTTTGCGAGACACTAGTGAGAACCTTATTTTCTTGGATGGTATGGTGTGATGTGTTGTCTAGGACAACAGTACACCCAAATAGAAAGTTTGGAATGACACATTTGTGTAACCAGTTTTGTGAGTTGAACTTTTTACTCTGAGGTGGTAATCTTCTGATTTGGATTTAATATGAGTTCTCCTCATCAGTGATTCCCTCTCTCTCATAGCATGAAAAAGTGCCACTTATTTCCCAGCACTTTCTTTTATGGTAATTCCTGGAACTTTGTCATTTTTCCAGCATTTTTTCTATATACTGGGTGTGAACCCTTGCCTTGTCATACATTCTTATACTTCTCAATCTAAACATCATATCGTTTATAGAAAACTAAAAGTAAAGCTATCCCTGTAACAGGCTGTGCAGGCCCATAGGGTTGTGAGATGTTGAGGCTCCCCCATTTTCTAGACAAACGGGTTTAAGATAGAGGTAAGGTTGTCAGCCTTATGCACCGGCCGCGCTATACTCCCCAGGAAAATTAATTAATTCCTGGTACTCATTTTGTTAGAGGCTGAGTCGACCCCAGGGCCATAGTGCAGCTGGAAGGATTAGGTCAATTGAAAAAATCGCGTGACCTTACCGGGACTTGAACCCGCGACCTTC